GCTGGCTGGTAGGTCTGCTGACCATGATTAACCGATGTCGTTTGAAGGTGGAGTAATTAAGTTATATGTCTGGCGCGTTGGTGTTGAGTGTTAAAGCTACTGTGGCGGTCAAGGGGGTAAGGTCAACTATAACCACACAGAATAATTTCGTTTCATCCAATGTCAGAAGTCAAGTAACTGTGAGAACAGGTTTATTCTGTACACAGGAAAAGTTACCGTGAGTTGACTGTTAGCTCGTGTCAGAGGAAGCGTCCGTTCGGGCGAGCGTCAATCGTGGTGTTTTGCTTACGCGGGAGTACATGGCTGCGCCAGCAGGAATTTTTCTTGGGGGGGAGGGCAGAGTCTAGAGCGCATGATGATACACCCCCCTCCCCGACAGAGCCACTCGCTGAATTAAGAGGATATGGGGAGCACGATCACAACTGGAAGGCAACTGATTGTACCGCGTGGCAGGTCGCAGTGCAGGGCCACTGTAGTGGAACCGACGGAGTTCCACACCGTCCGAACAGTTTCCTTAGCAAGTCTACTTGGCCATTCACTGGATAAGGATAATGAAGAGAGCGCAGGCAGGGCTCGGACCACGCGGAGGGAAGCGCGTGTGAACCGAATAACGGCAACGATCGGGAGAAGGCCCCCAAACACACACACACACACACGACCAGCCAAAGGTGCCTGTTTTACGGGCAATGTCGTAATAGGGATCTTACGGGCGGAGCCTATGTATGCATAGAGGAATGGCTAAATAAGTATAGATAATTAGTAAATTTGTTTTTCGGTCAGAAAATGTTTAAAGCATTGACATGTAGCAACCAAAAATTAAGCAGGACAATTAAAAAATAAACTTTAAGTGTCTGCAACGATCACTTCTCAACTCTCCGAGCTGTGGTCATTGTAGATACTGCACCAGACCGTCTACGACAGACGACCCAAACTTGTACGAGGAAACACCTAACCGAAATAATCGTGTCGAACCTAAATCCACCTCAATAAGTAGGTATTGTTTGCATGCCACAGATGTTCGGGGCCTTAACCCGATCCTTACTCCGATAACTGCCGTAACTGAGGCTGGCGTATAAGCACTCTTTCCTCTGTGGCACAGTCACTCGCTGGATTAAAATGGTAAGGAAGATGCAAATACTTGATATTTGTGAAGTCGGCGTATTTGCATCTACCAAAATTTTTTGTAAAGCTAACCATATGATATCACTCAAATGGGGCTGCAGGACCAAATCTCGCCAGCCCTTGTATACTCCATAGAAGACATTCAAGCCTGCATGAAGTGCAGTTAAAATGCAACGGTATAAAATCATTTTGAAACAGGGGTGTTAAAATCTGGTGAGTGTTCTACCTAACAGGTAACAACATATTCACTGCAATTGCCCGCAACGAGGCCTGTGGTGTTAAAGTTACTGTACACAAAATGGATTATTGAAGACAAGTAGCAGTATTTTGGTAGCTATAACAGGCTTATTAATGGTGTTTGGAGAGTTCCGGCTGACCGTTAACTGGCGAACACCCAGAGGTCTCTTAAGCATACTCACATGGCAGAATTTACAACACACACCCGCAAGGAATTAAAACTATCGAATGACTTCTTGTGAGAAAAAGAAGGAACTTTGATTAACGAGGCACAGCTCCTCTTTAAATTGTCAATAGTGACGCCAAATATTCGTTTTTGGCGCCAGTTCGAGTAGATTTTCACCTTCCATATCAAGATGAAAGCCCCGCAACAACTGAAACCCTGATGTAAGGCCACCTATGTCTTGTCTATTGTGGATGTGGTAGTGATTTAAGGCGACGGGCGCTGACTGTACGTCAAATTTTTGAGGTCCGTAATAAGCTTTTAACACGTCGTTGTACACCTTAAGGAATATCGATGTCTTTTCTAAGCCCCGACCGCCAGACTTGCAGTATGGGAGCATATTTTAGGGTAATATCAATGCCCTTGCTGACACTATTGTAAACGGTAATGCAATATGAATGTTAAATGCACATTCTATTAAAACATTGTCAGTAACATATTTGTTTACGGAAAACGTTTTACAGTGTGGAAGTGCGAAGGGTGCGGCAGACGGTCCTTTCCATATACACATAGAATATTTAATGTATATACAATCAGCACAAAGTGCAGTCATTTGCGTAGTTAACGGGAGAAAATCTCATGAAACGTGCAGGGATGCGTTGCGTAGGGATGTAATCAGAGAATAAAATTTATGGCTAGCCGTAGATAGTCCTGAAGTGAGAGTCGTCGTTCATCAAAAATCAAACGTTCCAGATGCCTTTTGAATTAAACCATTGTATCAGATGTCACTTTTCACTTGGAAGTGAGTTCCACGAACAAAAAACACGCTGACCGAATGAAAACTGCCGATAATCTAGGCGTATACGCTCCCGCTTGACTTTTTACGGATGATCGCGCAGGTGACTCACGGTCGTGAATTCGAAGAAGTCTTCAAGCTGGAGCGAACATTCATGCCTGTTGATAATGCGGAATGTCCATGACAGGTAACACGTTATGTGTCTATAGAATAGGGGGGATAGGTTAAGCTGGATCAGTCTTTCTGGATATGATGGAGTCCTGATACCGTCCATCAGTTTTGTGGTCTGTCGTTGCCTTTGCTCTATGGTATGACTGTCTTTCTTCCTTCAGTGCGTCAATGCTGGCATTCCGTATTCCAAATGCGGTCTGACGAACGTACTGAATATCTGTGAGAAGAGGCCGGGAGTAAAGATTGTGAAGGCACGCCCAATCCAGTGCATGATGCTGGTTGCCTTTTGGACGGCTCATTTGCAGTGCACGGGGGGCAGCAAGTTTGAACTTGTCCAGACACTCTAGTCTTTGTGCGTGTCCACTTCTTTTAGTGGGACCCCATTTACGGTGTACGGGTGTGTTGTGAAGCGTCTCTGACCAGATTCTAGGCGCATTTGGATACATTAGACGCTAGAAGCCACTTTCTTGACCATGCAGCCAACTTATCAACTTCTTCCTGTAGTTTCTGCGAGTCTTCCGCACAGCTGATTGTTTTCCGGATCTTTATATCATCCCCATACATGGTGGCATCGCACTCAAGATCTACAGCACAGTCGTTTGTCGCATGTTCCAGGTGTGGCCACACAGATGCTCCGAATGCCTTACCAAAGATATCTGCATCCAGTTCGACAACCGCGCTGCGTTTTGCCACACTGTGGTTTCGGAACCCTTCGCCGTTACTTTTTTTTCCACATTCACAGTTTCATTTGCATGATATTTTAAGACATACTGTCCTAAAGTACATTTCTTCTTCGTCTCACTGACATGAGCATCATTAGGGGTGTGGGGATGTCCAGTTGAGAATCCGCATGACAGTCGTAGCAGGTCGCTCACTTGGTTTCAGGTGTTGACCACGCCTAGCGTCAATTAACTGACACCCAACTCTCACATTTGGTTCCCCGAACTAGGATCAGCCTAGCGGCCACACCCTGGTAACTGCCTCGACCGGCAAGCTAAACCAGGTGAGGGTATGCATGTGTGCATTTCCGCATACAGTAGTCTCGACTCTGATGGCCGGATGGGTTATCGCATCGACATCTACCAGATGAGGTTCCGTCTGGAACACCGTAGCAGGCCACGAGGTGAGTGAGCCCCCCCCCCCCCAGGTAAAAGAACATTGCTATGTTGTCTGTGCTTTCGCTTGTTCTGATTTGTTTGCTCTCTGTCTTCATGTTTGTGTTTGTCCTTGTTGAAAGCCAAATGGCGCTCTGTTTGATTTCCTCTGTTCCCTTCGCTTTTTGTTGTTCTTGTCTACTTGTTTTTTGTCTGCTTCTTCCTGTTCCTTCTCACTGTATGTTAACGGCCGCCCTATTGAATTCGTCTATTCACCGATTGTATTTCAGCCACCAGTTAGCCTATTGAGGGACGGGAAAGTTCTCTACCGTTCCCCCACTTCCCCTCCTCTCGCCCACCCCAAGCCGTACGCAATGTCGTAGGCAGACCAGAGTTAACTCGGGTCGATCTTCCACCAAACAAATGCAGTGACCCAAAGTAGAGTTCGGCAGCCGTCCGGGACAACAGAGCAGCCCTATTTAGGTAGAGTACTGCTCGCCCCCCTGAGAAAGTGGCTAGAAAAGGTGTCCTGAGCATATGCTGAGGATGCACGCCGTCAGCAGGATGACCGTGGCCTCAGACGAAAAGCTCACGGTCGAAACAACCAAAATCAAGACAACACACACTCTCTCTTCCCCCTCCTCCTCCACGCCGCCCAACACGCCAGCTTGGTAGGGTGGGTCCGCTCACTCTGGCAGCCTAGAATGTTCGTCCGGCTAGATCGCAGTTGGTTGCCCGGAATGGGAAGCGAACGGCGACCTTAACCCTAATCCCAACCATAACCCTAGCCCTAGCCGAAATCGTGAACGTAAGCGTAGCCCTTAGACATAGCCGTAACTGAGAAGCCTAATCGTAACAATGAAACATATTCGTACGCTCAAACCCTAACCATAACCCGAAAACCTAAGCCTAAATGCATAACCCTAACCGGAAAATCGAAAACCATTACCCGTACCCCACTCCTAACCTCAAACGTAAAACGGAAGCCAAATGTGTCAGATGTGATTATGGAGCCCCGCAAAATAACCCCAGTAAACAAACCCCCAAGCCACATGTAATGCGGGTCCGGGTTACCAACTGCGATCTAGCCGTTCGTTCCATTTGGACAACCCGAGGGGCAACCGACCGGAACGGAGGACAGCGCTAGTTGCTCGACAAATGGCGCGCTACAAGGTGGACATCACTAAACTCAGGCGGCCCCGTTCTCCGAACATGGCCATCTGGAGGAGGTTGGTACCGGCTATACCTTCTTCTGGAGCGGTCGCGCAAAGGTAGAACAGGGACGCAGGTGTCGCATTTGTCATCCGGAATGACATTGTGGGACGCCTGCCCTGTCTGCCGCAGGGCATCAACGATCGCCTGAAGAGCCTCCGCCTGCCTCTCAGGGAAGCCAAATTCGCCACCATCATCAGCATCTATGCTCCTCACAATGACCAGCCCCGACAAGGCGAGGAGCGAATTCTACGAGGACATGCACGCACTCCTGACGACTGTGCCAAAGGCGGATAAGTTGATTGTCCTTGGTGACTTCAACTCCCGCGTCGGCAAAGACCTGCCTGGAGAGGAGTGCTGTGTGCCCATGGTCTCCGACGACAATGACCTGCTCCTCCTACGAACCTGCGCCGACCACCGGTTCATCCTGACAAACACATACTTCTGCGTCCCAATGCGAGAGAAGGCCACCACCAAGACTGGTCGGATGACAACGACGCCGCCATCAGCAACCTGCTCGCCGAGAAGAACCGCCTGCGCAAAGCATACGTCACCTGCCTGACCGACGACAACAGAGCAGCCTTCTACCGTAGTCGCCGCCTTGTGCAACAGCGGCTGCGGGAGATACAGGATCCCTGGACGACTCGCAAGCTCGAGAAGATTCAAGTGTACGCGGACCGCAACGAATGGAAGAACTTCTTCTCCCGATCAAAACTGTCTATGGTCGGCCAACCAAAGCAACTGCTCCTCTTCTCAGCGCCGACGGGAGTACCGTACTCACCGAGAAGACGCAAATTGTTCAGCGATGAGCCGAGTACTTCCGATGCGTCCTCAACCGTCCCTCCACCATCTTCGACGCTGGCATCGTTCGTCTGCTTCAAGTGGAGACCAACGCTGACCGCGACTTTCCGCCCTCTCTCCAAGAAATCATCAGTGCCGTGCAGCAACTCTCCAGCGGGATAGCACCCGGATCGGACGCGATCCCTGCTGTGATATACATGCACGGTGGCGTCCAACACATTGACCATCTAACGGCGTCAAGCAGAAGCGTCCCAGAATTTCAAGGAAGCCATCTCTATAAGCGGAAAGACAACCCTCAGCTCTGCGAGAGTCATTGGACATCTCCTTGCCAGACATCGTCGAGACGATTAGCGCCCGCCTTCTCTTTAACTGCCTAAACCACCATTTGGAAAACGGTCTCCTGCCGGAAAGCCATTCCGGCCTCCACCGTCATCATGGGATCATCCACATGATCTTCGCCGCCCGCCACCTGCAGGAGGAGTGTCAAGAGATGCGGACCCACCGCTAATCTATCGTCGTGGATCTGACGAAAGCCTTCGATACGGTGAATTGCGAAGGACTGTGGAAAATCATCCATGAATTCGGCTGTCTCGAACGACTCATTCAGATGTTGCGTCAGCTCCGCAATGGCATGATGGCGAGGAGTACGGACAATGCAGCTGTCTCAGAGGCATTCGCAATGACCAACAGAGTGGGATAGGGCTGCCTACCCGCGCCTACCCTCTTCAGCCTTTTGTCGTCGGCTATGCTAATGGGTGCCTACCGTGAAGAGCGCCCCGCGATCCTCGTCACCTACAGGACGAACGGCTAATTCCTCAGCCATCGACAGATGCACTTCAAGTCGCGTGTACCCACAACTACCATCCATGAGCTCTTATTCGATGACGACTGCGCCCTCAATGTAACTACTGAAGAAGACATGCAAAGAGGCATGTACCTCTTCCCCAACGCCTGCGACACCTTCGGCCTAGTCATTAACACGGAGAAAATGGTGGTTATGCACTAACCCACCACCCAACGCTGCCTATGTTGCATCTCAAATCAACGAGAATGGCGCCCAACTGCAAGTGTTGGGCAACTTCGTCTTCCTGTGCAGCACCCTCTCCCGCAGCACCAGAATCGATGATGAAGTAGCTCGCCGGACTTACAAGGCCAGTCAAGCCTTTGGTCGTCTCTAAAACACAGTTTCGAATCGTCACGTGCCTCAGCTCAGCACGAAACTGAAGATGTACAAGGCCATTATCCTACCGATGCTGCTGTGTGGAGCAGAGACCTGGACGCTGTACATGAAGAAGACACGTATACCCAACTACTTCTACCTCAATTGTCTCCGACGGATATTGAGGCTGAGATGGCAGGACCGGATCCCGGACACGGACGTACTGGAACGGACGGAAATCCGCTGCGGCGGTTCGTGTAAGCACCAGCACTGTACGCAATCCTGAAGCACAAACGAACATCAACCCCACCCCCACCACCACCACCGTCAACGCCAGTCATGTGAACTTTGTCCATAACTGTTCTCATTTCGGCCGCACCTTCACCTCACCCATCGGTCTGGTCGGCCAATTGCGAGTCCTTCGCATAGAAACAGGCGGATCACTGCCTGGAGCACTAACCTACACTCGCTGCATTAACCTCCACTGTCCACACTGTCCCGCATACTCCAACACCGCATGGGCCTATTCGGTCAAATTCGTACCAACGAGAGCGCAATTTGCAGCAATCTCGACGCACACACAGCATTTCCTACGTATCCACCATGCCTAGCTCAACCCACACTTTGCCGCTCAGTACACCCACCAGCATCAGCCTCGCCACACTCGGGACATCTTGCACACCCAACATGCCTAGCCCAATTCACACCCCAGTGCGTACAACATCAGTAGCTCCACCACTGCCACCATCTCCGAAACCGACACTGACACCGCCGACTTTTCCTGTCCCCATTGTCATTGTAAAGTCACCCCACACATCGGCCTGGTCAGTCACTTGCGAATCCATAGCACAGGGACTGGCGAACCAGTGCCGGAGCATCAACATACACCTGACGCATCCGCCTCCACTATCCTCAATGCAGTCGGACGTCCACCCATCATATGGACCTACTGGGCCACGTGCGCATTCATGAAAACCTGTGGTAGACAGCCGCCAGTTAAACCACACCATCACATCTTCCTCCACCTACATCACGCAACAACATCGTCCACCATAAGCATCCAACTGCCACCTCCTACGCAAGTGGAAAGTGTGCGTCTCGGGTCCGTCTCCATGCGGCCTTTCTGCTGCACGTCCGGTTTGAGTCTGAGGCATCTAACAATTTGGAGTTTGCTTCATCATATCTGGTAGGCGGAGAGTTTACCGCCCATGAGTAGAACCCTGTTTTGAACCGCATTATTTACAAGGCGGTGTTAAGATTAGAGGCATACTCGAAAGTTCCCAGTGGCCGATAGTATAAAGGTTAGCAAATCATAAGTCAGGGTAGACGAATTGTTTTGGAAAACCTTTACTGCTGAGGAAATGCGTACACAAGGCTCTGTGAGCAGTCGCCGCATTCGGTCTCGCCAGGCAAGTTGTTTTACTCTGCCCACCGTTGAGGTTCCTAGTCCCCAGCGCTTGTGTGTCTTTCGCCCTGTCCCAGTTAGATATCGCCAGCCAATCAGGAAGTGACAGCGTTAATTCGCTCTGAGCTCTCGCGAAACTAGTGACAAGCCTCACGTGGTCCCAACTGCGAATCGACGGGGAGCGTGAAGCGGACAGAAAGACAGCATGACAAATCGGCAGAGAACAAGGTAGCGCGGACTGCCACAGCGGCGTTACAATCGCAGCAAGGTGGTCTGCCGATGGTCACAAGTTTTCTTGCAATGAATTCACACTCATCTTTGGCGAAATTTGTGAAATCTAGAATCGCGATTTCTGCTTTCGCAAACAATAGTTGGCCTGCTTCCTTCTTCAAAAACCGTAGTTGGTAGCAGCGTGCTTAACTGAAATAATAGTCGGTATGCCTGCTAATGCTCGATACACTTGAGAATGCGTTAAATGCCAACTGGGCCACTTGCTGAACACTTCAAATTCACAATTCTTTGCAAAAAATGGCATAATTTGAAGGTATAACAAAGGAAATGTATTTTTTCTCATATTTTTGTCAAACCAATAATTACCTACTTTTAATAAGGTAGAAGTGCGTGCACTTTAGGCGTTCCGAATGTTGTAACCATTGCAAGACTTGCTGAAATCTTTTCTTGCCTTTCGGTCGCCCATAAATTAGAGCACACTTTTATGCGCGATGAACAACGGTGGATTTATCGATATTAAATAGTCGTATTCTATTGTGATGAAGATTTTCCCTGACACGAATTCGCCATTTAATCTAGCACCACACATCCCCTTCACGGGGTGTTCACAACAGTGACAGTTGTTTCACCACGCGGGCGATCCTCTTGAGTAGTACGTTGGCAAAAAAACGTGGTTTATGACTGAAGCTAAAAATCATCGTCCCGGAACTTTTCGTCGAATACGTGATCAGTTTTCCTTAGCAATGAAATGTCTACTGAAAAAGATCTTATTTAAAGCAGTACTTTACCCATCAGGCAGCTTGGACTCGAAAACAACAACGCGCTGACACAAAAAGTCAAATAAACTGACGAAAGCTTTCGGACCAGTGCATGAACCAATCTTTAGAAATGAAGAAATACTAATGATCAAAGAACAGGTCAGCAGACTAACATAGTATGATAGAGGGGAGGGATGCATGCAGTCAAGATTAGCTACAAGGATGCAAGCCGGGAACAGCAGGGCGTTAAAAATCGGAAACGTGATAACCGAAAATAGGAAGTTTCCCGAAGCAACTCTCAGAGTGGTAGAGCTAATAGAACAGCTCTTAGTACTTTTGGAAGCGTACAAACAGCTTAGAGGTCAGCGGTTACACCTGCCTCACCACGCCGTTAAGTAGATGTTGTCGGTGTCAGTTACGGTGTGAGGTGCGTGTCCGCACCTGAACCGGATTCGGCTGCAACCAGTCACTGAAGTGTCTACTGGTCGTATCATGCTGTTGCCACGCCAGAAAATTGAGTTTCCAGCAGTCTGAACATTCGACTGACACTCGGTGTTAGGTGAATAAACAGCGATACGGATTAGCGGCTATGTTAGCAAGGGGATATTTGTTAAAATAAGACATCGACACCTGATAGAAGCCACTACGTATTGAGGAATAGTTAATCTGAAAGACATCGGACTATCTCTAAGAGGAGTGATAACTTGTTTATTGTCTTTAAGACCAAAACAACTTAGACATGACAAAACTCTTGTCCGATGAGGCGCTCGAAATCTTTTACATGACTTCTTTGTTCGACAGATTACAACAGCAACGAAAGCAGTCTTCATGACCACTATATAGTGTCCGACCTAAATCATCTATCACAAACGCCAAAATGGCCCAGATGTACAGCAGTATCGCAAAAGCATAGGCCAAGATTGAGAAACTGGCCACCACGACTTTCAGGCCCGGTCCCAAAGGGAAAGTGAAGATGGATGCCAATTGGGAGGACGATGTACTCTGCACAGAATAGCTGGAGAAGGGCTGGAGAGAGTTAGTAGTAGAAGGGGGGCCCGTCCGGCGTCGGGTGAGCGGCTTCTCATGTGTCTGGGAATGTATCTAAGGGTCTTAACTTAGGGCATGTCTGACTCGGCCTTGGATCTGACTGGCCAGTTGGAAAGCTGAATGGGCTAAAACCAGACAGCCGTGGTGCTTACCTGCAGACATCCGCAAGAGGCACTACGTTTGGACAGGCGGAATTCGTGAACTATCGTATCCGGTAACTTCGGTTGAAACCAATTTTCACTAGCATCCTCCCCAATTACATCCGTTCCTGTCCTAACCAACATCCGAGACACCTTGGCAAAGGATGGCGGACCGGCTCACGTTTTCGGGTTAAGTGCAATAAAACTGTAAAACTATAAAGTCTTAGGTTGAATTTATTCTTCTTCCGCCGAGGATTTATCTGCGTTTATTAATTATCAGGTAAATTAGTTAAGCTAAGTGTCCAAGGCATCAAGTGCAGCGCAGTAGTGCCGCAAGAAAGATAACTCAGATTTTCTAGAAGCAAATGAAAGAGCATTGAATGCCTGTGTTCCCGTTAGGAATCTTAAGCACAAACCAAAGA